AGAGTTATCAGGTATCACGTGACACATCAGTGACATTTAACGGTTTTCACTCAGTCAATCAATCACTCGACTCAGCTCGACAACAACTCCAGTGATCAAAACTTACGCACATGCAAAATGAACACTCAAAGAATTAACTAAAAATCAGTGGGATGGCTGAAATTGCATTTTTGCCATCAATTGGGGTGCAGTATTTAAATTTGGTTATTGATTAGCATTACAGGTATTAGTGTATATGGTTTATACTCTGGCACTCTACTATGAGGGTCAAGCCTTATTTAATAATACACTGTATTATGAACTCAAATGGTTCAAATTACCCCATGGCCCCCAGGTTGGGAGCCACTGGAACCTAACCGGTAGCAGTCAGGTGGGTGGGGAAGACGTTGGCAGTGATCAAAGTAGACTTCATGAGCAAATTGTTCTGGAATTTATTACAGAAACTTCCTTCAGTAACTAAGTAGGATGTGGCCTGTTAGGTTAGGTTAGTACGTAGACCAAGTTTAATTTTAACCTTTTTTGCCAAGAAAAAAAAAATTGCTGGTTTTCATGCTGTTTTAGATGATTGAGATTTTTTGGGGTGAAAATCACTCATTTTCACACCCCCCCATCCAAAACCCCACAGTCCCAACGTGGCCCCGTACATTGTTGGGATAGAAGGGGGGTGGGAACGAAAAATAAAAGAAGTGATTTGCCCCAAAGATAAAAGTCAGAATCATTTAAAACAGCAAGAAAACTATAAACAAAATATATATTTTTCATGGGAAAAAAAGGTGGTGGGTGGTTAATGAAAAATTACATTATTTTTATTTGATAATGTGGTTCAGCAAAATATAAAATAATGGAATTCGAAACCTGGTTACTATCCTAAATTGACCTGAACATATTTTAGTGGTTTTATTTAAACCACTAAACTGTTAGTTTTGTGTCCAAGTGATTCTGTGATACATTAATATAAACTTGCTCTAATTTGTGTAACATATAGTACAGTACAGTACAGTATATTATATTTAATTTAATTGGAAGTTAAATTAGGGCAATTAAATATTTCCAAAACTTTTAAGGTTTTTCATGTAAATAAACTGCTGTAAATTTTGAAATTTTTACTATTTAAAAAGAGAGGTTGTAATAGAGGCACCTGCAAATTTGTATTTCACATCTCAAAATCCTGAGTTTTCTTCGTAACTTTGTCGACCGCTGCATGGTTCATGTGTAGTGGTCTCTTTGTATTCCTGGAGGCACTGGGTTTGGTCTTGGGTACAGCATGCCCTTCAAATTCACAGGGATTAGGTTCTCAAAATGGCTGTGAATCGCCCAATCCGTAAAATAACATTTGCTGACCATGGGGGGAGGGGGGGGGTTACATTTTTACTTGTGTGCAAAGAAATGCACATTCCCTCTTTGTGTTTGCCCTTAGGACAATTATTTCTTTTATCTGTATTGTATATGTGTGTGTGTGTGTGTTTGTGTAGACACACATATATAAGAACAGCCCAGTCCCAACCATTATAACAGTTATCAACAACTTGTAATCAACCAGTGTACTGTATGTATTCACTACCAGTCAATCTTACCTTTTTGCACTGTCACTATATTGAAATGCCCTGTAATATGACCTTCTCCCCACTTGGTTATTATATATAATATTTGTATCACTTACCGGGTATGTTATTTGTCATTCAAGTGACCCATTCCCCAATTACCGTAGGTACCGTAACTGTATATTTTCAGCCTTCCGGCTGCCATGCTCTTTTAATAAACCGTTATTATTATTATTATTATTATTATTATTATTATTATTATTATTATTATTGTTATTGTTATTGTTATTGTTACAGGGTATTATTAAGATGCATACAAATAAATAATAATGGGGAAATCCTCTCACAAATAATAAGAAACATGACAAAAAATGTATGTAGAAAAAATGCGAGTCTACCCCCAAGTCAACTTCGTGCTTTGTTATTAAAGTTGAGTTGGTCAAGTTGCCATATGGCGCCAGCTGAATTGATACGTTGATCAAACTTATAGAATTTCTTTCGTAGCCATCTAACCAACCCAACATGAAGGATGTCGGTAATTGTGGTGTACTACTGTATACTTTTTCACAATATGTATGTAGGATGGAGTGTGCATGTAAATGAATAAAAATAAATGAAGAAAGTTATGTTCAGTGGTCCTCCGGTTAACGGACGGTTCGATTAACGGAATTTCGGTTAACGAAGTAGCTCCCATAAGGATTTTCAGTTCGATTAACGAACAAAACTTCGATTAACGAAATCCTTATGACAAACACGTTTTGTTGTGCGCATCAGCTGATCGGGTAGTCCACCAATACAGTACAGTGTAACCCCGCTTTACGCGGTCATTTGAACCCACGGAGGCCCACGTAAAGCGGGAAACGCGTAAACTGAACAACAGAACATATGGGATTAATTGAAATAGAGACTGGGCTGGTCCCCGAACTCCACTTTTTCAGACACAATACCTACGTTGTAGTAAAAATAACATCTTAATTTTATGATGGTATGCACACACAATTAATAATTAAAAGAAATATCAATAATATTAGGTTTTTTAACACTTGCATTAGTAGAAAAGATGGCTGGGCACACGGGGATGGAGGGTTGGTTCCGAGGCAGAGGGCAGATTATTGGCCCTCACCTGTATCACTTGTATCAATTGTATCACTATCCACCACAGAAGCTTGCAGGGTCTCTGTCAAACCCCTCAAAGTCCATATAAGTCCATATCCTCACTATCACTGACTTAGGCTGGCTGTGGTAGGTGGCGGGTGAAGAACTCAGTGCTGTGTTGATGACTGGGCGACCTTGTGCGCACCCTGCCCGCGCCGCTTCCCGCGTATATGAGTAGATGCACCGCGTAAAGTGGGAATTCCGGTTCTGGCGGGGTACCGCATAAATGTAGAAACGCTTAAAACTGAAACGCGTAAAGCGGGGTATTACTGTAATTGGTTCTATGTTTACATTCGTTTCCAGTGGAGTAAATATCAAGAAAGTTGGTTTCTTGAATATTTCTGCATTTTTTTTTTATTAAAATTATTGGTCATTCTGAAATTTAGTTTACATATTGATTATATACAGTGCAGAAATTATTATGAAACATGAAGTTGGCATTAGAACCAATGCATTCTGTAAAGAATATGGCATGTCTTCATCGACTGCCTCTACAATCAGCTGTTTGATATGTAAACAAAGCTGCCGGGAATACAACATACACACCTCAAATAAGTTAAAATACAGTATTCTATTGTTTTTTATTTAGTATTGTACAGTATACTGTACAGTACTGTATTTAGTTTATATTTAATGTTTTGTTAATTCTATTACTGGTATACAGTACACCTGTACTTTGTATGTACAGTGGTCCCTCGGTTAACGAGATTTCGGTTAACGAGATTTCGGTTAACGATTTACCTTCCATAAGAGTCTTAACTTCGGTTAACGAGCAATCCCTCGATTAACGAGTTTTGTACGAGCCGACTTCAACATGTTTTCGCTTGCATTTGGCGGTCCACCAGCTGTAGTATTAGTCCGCCAATACAGTAATCGGTTTTAGGGCTTAAATTCCTTACTATTTTAGTAAATATCAAGAAGTTTATACTATTCAATAATTTTAAAAGTTTAATATTAACTTTTTTAGTCATTTTAACAATTATTGAACATAATTGAAGGTAAAGAAACTAGTTTCTGGCGTGCCATCCAGCCTGTTAACACACCAGACAGGCGTTAGTCTCTCTCTGTTTTCAGTGGAGGTAACATCTTGCTTGAGATTCTCTTCAACTAAATGCTTTTTTTCTGTGTTTCCAAGCAAATTATTGGCCATTTTGAAATATATTTTACATATTGACAATATATAATGCAGTGCAGTGTTGATTTAAAGAAAATAATCTTGAAATACACCAAGAGAACTAAAATTTTATGGGTGAAATGGAGCCATGGGGTGACTTCTCTTCCACCCCAATGCCTTCGCTTCTTCCTTCTCCTCCACCCCCATTCTAATTCCCATCATCATCATCCAGGAGCCTTCTACATACACACCTCAAATTAAGTGTACTTTTCTACCTTCTTTGCTGAATTTAGGCAATTTTCTGTGAGTTGGAACCAATTACCCAATATTCGGTTAATGAACGACTCTGTGGAACCAATTGTGTTCATTAATGGAGGGACCACTGTATTGTACTCGGGTATTTGTGTACAGTAAATAAAAAGTATTTACTATTGACTTCAGAATATCTCCTAATATCAAGTGCACAGGGCTTCAAAAATGGCCTCAAAATGCCAATGATATTAGACAGATTAAAAAAAAAATCGGGGGGGCGTTTGATATTCCTGGTTCCGCCCCTGGGTAAACATTAGCATAATAACGGCCTGGGTTCATAGGTGGTGCGCCGGTAGCATACCCCTACAATATGTAATTTCTATATAATAAACCTAGATATGTACCCCCTCTGGTTACCAAAAAGCTCATTTCTGTTTTTTGCTGGAAAAGCTAGAGAAAGTGTTTTCTAAAATCATTTATAACATTCAGGTTGGCTGATTCATAGGTAGTATCTTATATAGTGGCTCCCTTTGCAAGTAGTTTAGCGTCATCTTTGAAAATATTGTACCATGTTGCCCTGATATCTGAGTGGGTTGGGAGACATACAGTATCAGACTCGGCATTTATTTTATTTCCATTTATTTTTTAATATTAGACTCGTGATTATATAATGGTGGATAGATAGGTGAATATGAAAATGGAATTCATACATAATTTTCCCTCCTGAATTTTTCCCAGTGAATTGAAGATCGCTAAACCGAACAATTGCAGATTGTTAAATAACTAAGGGTGTTAGAAAATTTTAAATGAGTTATCGCTAAGTGAACGATCGCTAAACTGCGGATACCTGTACTGTGCAGTATTTAGTACTCTATTTATATGTTCTAAGGAAAGTTTTTATATTTTTCTTATTTGTTTTATTTTTGTATTTTTTTCAGAAATGTGGAGATTAAGTCAAGAGGATGTGCAATGGTCATCTAATATACAGTATTGGTGTTTTGTTCTGGTTTTTCATTTTTTTTTGGTGGGTTGTGTTAGCAAGACCGAGAATGCCGAGAGTGGTGGTGGAAAAACAATGGAAGCTTGTAAGATATTTTGCAATTACAAGCTCTTGCAGCTTGTAAGTAAGGCAAAGATTTTTAATGACAGTAAACATTTTGTTGATATGAAGCTGAAGATGCCCCCAGAGGTAGTGGAGAATAAATTCAACAGTTTATTAAACAAAACAAAGGATCAGCCAAGTAAGGATGATATTAAGAAATTTTTAGAAGAAAATTTTGAAGATGGTGGTACAGAATTTATTAGCTGGATTCCAGAAGATTGGAAGACAAAACCTAAATTTACATATGATGTTTATGATATTTACTTGAGGAACTGGGTTCTTGAAGTCAATCAAAGATGGAAGGTACTTGGACGAAAGCTGTCAGAAGATGTCTACAAAAACAACAGCTTGTACTCTCAAATTTATGTTCCGAATGCTTTCATTGTGCCTGGAGGACGTTTTGCTGAGTTGTATTACTGGGATTCATACTGGATTATTGAAGGTCTTCTCCTCTCAGAGATGCATGACACTGCTAAACAAATGATAAAGAACTTCTTGTACCTTATAAATGAGTTTGGATACATACCTAATGGTAGTAGAAAATATTATATAGGAAGATCTCAGCCACCATTTTTGACTTCCATGGTAGATTTGTATTGGAAATATACCAAAGATGTAACATTTTTGAGTGAATGCATGAGTGCCCTGGAGAAAGAATACAGTTTCTGGCAAAAGAACAGATCTATAACTATCACCATGGATGATAACATTTATACATTGTTCCAGTACCGAGTTAATTCAACAGATCCAAGACCAGAGTCATATTATGAAGATGAGAGACTTGTGAAAAACATGACTAAGGAAGAGAGGAGAAGAATCTTTTCTGGGATCAAATCGGCCGCTGAAAGTGGATGGGATTTTTCCTCTCGGTGGTTCTTGGCAAATGGGAAACATTCCACGAATATGACAGACATAAACACTACATCCATAGCCCCAGTGTGTCTAAATAGTTTGATGGGGTTAAATGCACGGCTGTTGTCTGAATTTTTTCATATATTGGGAAACGAATCCAAACATAATTTATACAAAGCTTATGCAGATGAAGTCAACATAACTATGAGTCGCATCTTTTGGAGTGATCGAGATGGAGTGTGGTTTGACTATAATGTGGAAAAAAGGGAACTCATACCTGGGTTTTACCCATCAAATTTGATGCCTTTATGGACAGAAACTTATGGAAAAGAGAGAACACCAGCATTTATAATAGAACAAGCTATTGCTTATCTTGACAGAAATAATATTAGTAGTTATCCTGGGGGTATCCCAACATCATTACTGAAAACAGGACAGCAGTGGGACTTACCGAATGGATGGGCTCCACTGCAGTACTTTGTTGTAATGGGGTTACATAAGGCAAGAAAATATAACCCTCGTGCTGAAAAACTTGCTTTTTCATTTGCTCGAGAATGGGTGCTCAATGTTTACAAAAGCTACTTGAATACCAAACCACATAAGATGCTTGAAAAATATTTGGTAACTGAGGTTGGAAAGAGTGGAAGTGGTGGTGAGTACAACACTCAAGAAGGTTTTGGATGGACTAATGCTGTCATCATGAAATTCCTAAGCATTTATGGCCACAAGATTAGAACAAAGGAAGTCTTTGATCCTGCACCACTCATTGTTGGAATCCTGCTAATGGTAGTGTCTCTTGTGTCTGTTGCAAGTTATATGCACAGAGTACGTGTTTGTCAGAGATTTAAGTGGGAATCAGAAGAAACTTTATCAAGAGTGTAGTTATAATACTTTTGGTACCCGATATAGTAAATTATTTTCTTATGGTAGGGATTGTCTTTGGGGTCTTATGCTGTGTTATATTTATTCCAAGGATAAAAACTGAACTTTGATCAATTTAAAGGAAAGGGGGGGGGGGGGTAGAACAGTATGAATTTGGAATAATGTAGAGTACTGTACAGTTAAATTTGTAATACTGTACTGTATTAATAAAGCTGAAAGAAATTATAAAACAAGGTAATTAAGTAGGGATTGGTTGAATTTCTGAAAGATAAGTTACTCCAAGTAAATGTCAGTTTAAGGTCCACTACTGACTATATTTCTTGCCTATACTGTGCAATACCTCAAGCAGGAAATTATTTTCATTGTTTTGAAAACGAGTTAGTTTTGGCATTTGTAAAGTGGTAGCATGTTGAAAGTTGCATTTCTACTGTAGTGCATTAGTAGCTGCTCATGTGGTTCTGTACTTAAACAATGCTCAAGACACATGTTATGAAGTAGCCAAAATAGAGGAGAGGTTGATAGAATTATTAGTTTTGAGAAACTGCTCCTGGAAGTAAATGTCAAACATAAGTACTGTAGTGCTTCCTAATATACTTCCAAAACTTCTAAGGTTGTGCATAATTACTCAGGATAGTACAGTAGATAATTAATGTTAGTTACACATGCTTTAAGAGTAAAAAGAGAATATTTAGATTGATGATACAGTACTAAGAAATGTAATCATGTCTTTCCTTGATTGTTGTCTGTAATCCGTCCAATTTGTGCCTCTTGATAAACCTTTTATGTGGTTAACACTGGTAATGTATACTGTATTTATATTTTTATCCAGTAGATATAAGGCAAGCATTGTAAGTGCCACAGTTTATTTTAAGAATACTGTATTGGAATTAAGTTTGGATTTACTTTGATATTTAGAAAAAGAATTAGTTTGAAATTTTGAAGTTGTGAAGTGTATTGAAAATGTTCCTCATGTAAGAATTACTGTATACAGTACAGGTACTGTGAACTTATTATGCTGTACCTAAACCCAGTAGAAAGCATGTTTCATGTTAAGCTGCACAAATTTCATAAAGATAACATGAAAGAGAGAGAAACTACCATTGTTGGATTAGGAGTTATTTTGGATAAGCTCAAGATAATTAAACATTTGTGGCATTGTATTTACAAGATCTCATCTAGCACTTGAAGTTACCTCTGTCCGTCAAACAATAACTTACCGGTAAACACTATTGTGTGTTAGTTTTGTATAACTGGATCACAGTGTATAAGTGTTTGATTCTAGAGTGTATTTTAGAAATGTGTGAAATAATTTTGCTTACATGATGTTCAAATAGAGTATTACTGTGCAGTATATATTTTTGGTATGAGTGATGTAGGTTCTCCTTGCTAGGTACAGTAATAACACAATTTATCCACTGCACTTGGTTTTATAAGACTAGTATTCCAATGTACAGAACAGTATATTGTATGTAAATATTTAAAGTCTTATATTTTGTTCTTAGATTCTCAGTTTTTCATAGTTTTATATTACAATAATGAATACATTACTTCAATTCCATTATTTTTGCCACTTATCAGCTTACTAGCTGTTAGGGCAGTTGGTCTATCTATTGTTAATACAGGTGGAAACCGGGGACCAGGAAACCTGTGATGTTTGGTAGGGTCGCAGTACATAACTGTATTAGCCTTTGTACAGGTATTTCCTTTTGGTTTGCATAGGAAAGGTTTCCCTCTACTATACAGTGTTGTATTGGTTTTCATTAAATAATTCTGGACCTAAGTGCAAGATGGGCAGTTGTCAAGTACTGTAAATGCATTTGGGGGAGGAAAAGGGGACTTTTGTTTGATCATCAGAAATTAGACTGGGGATTGAACCTTTGATAATTTCACTGCATACATAATGAAGGCAATTAGGGAACTTTACATTTTGCTGTCCACATACAGTACAACCTTAAGAATCTGTAATACTGTACTTGGAGCCAAGCCCTCTCAATATTTCTGAGGGAAAATATAGCATATAAATACAGTACAACAAAATAAAACAAGGAAAGTTTTACTGATAATGATATACAGTATAGTACAGTATTACAATTGTTAGCATCCAACTGTTCCTTATGAGGGTGAGCTGAGCAGTTATCAAAAATAATAATAATTATATTGTACAGTCCTCTGCCAGCCTCACCTTACAGCAGTGTGTAGGAGACTTGTACAAAATCATGGATACTAGTCAATAGTTATTTCCCGAGTGATTAACTCCCCTATATTTGTCTTGTAAAGCACAGGCAAAATTTTCATGCCTTTCAGAGCAAGTGGCTTAGCTTTCTTCCCTGTCACAAGTAGTTTATGTTGATGTGTACCAGCAGCCTTTGTATGCATTATAACAGTGAGTATCTTGTTAGATTCTCTTGTCACACATCACCACCTCCTATGAGTCAGCAAGTGTGTTACGATGTAAATGTCCCCGACACCACCAATTTCATTAGTAATATAAAGGTGTTCAAATCCTTCATTTTTTTATTTACTTGGCAAAATCATCAGTGTACTATTTTAGTAGCTTCACTACAGTATTGGCAGACATTTGTACATCACTAACTGATGATAATGATAACTAGCTGTTAATAGTAAATACCATGTGAGTTTTGAGTCTGTAAACTGCTTGTGCCTCTTCTGAAAGGCCCTCTCCTGAATTTACGATGATTTTCTGGACATCTGAAATAACAGGAATCTTGAGTAAATTTCTTTGAAAAATTAAGGTTCTGGATTTCTGAGTTCTGTGTACTGAAGGTTGTACTGTATTATACTACCCTGTATATTTTCTAGATTAATCACATTTTGTTAATAATGATGTTGCTGGTATACAGTACTGTAGTTTGTTAAAAAGAAACAAAAAAATTTCATTGTCTGTACTTGCACTGCAGTCCTGAATTTTGTTTACTGATTCTAAGATTTGGAACTTCTGCTTTAAACCAAAGGTTGTGATTAGAAAATGGTGACTGTTTACAAAAGTGGGAGAGTAAAATATTTTAAGTTTTATTTTATATTTGCCCTTATACTACACTACACTATACTGTACTGCATCACTAATAGGATGATATTCAGTCAAATCTTGGTGAAATAGTGTCTTGTACAATCAGTGATTCATAGTTTTAGTTGGGATTTTGAGATAATGAGTTACGTTTTTAGTGTTTAATCATGTGTTTACCTGATTTTATCTGTATTACCTTTCACTTAAATACTGTAGCATCTTAGCATCTCAGAAAAACAATGAAGTTGACAAAACTGAGTATGGAGTAAATGTAGGTTCCTGTTGCCCCCACATCACCTGACACTCAGTCTTTGTATGTTCTTGTTCTGTCAACACAGCCACAGTTTGTACTATTCACTTTTTATTTGTGGTTTAGTGACACTTTTAGTGCTTTCACAAGGGCAGTGTAGTGCATGTGTTTATCAGAAAATATCTTGGTACAATACTGTAGAACCTGTACTTCAGAAAAGCTAAAAAAAATAGATGAAGTTGAGCATGGAGTAAGTCTGCGGTTCTGATTCCGGTAAACACCACAACTGTACCCATTTTTACCTCGACCTCGGGGCAAAATTGAGATTAGTGTACTGGATTTTAACTATCATTCTAGTACTGTATCTTGTCTTTAGATACTAGAGAACAAAGCATTGGCTGGGTATGTGCACATGCAGTGGGCATGTAATGGTTAGCCTTTTGTTGCAAGCGTACTGTGCAGTAGACCATCAGGGTCCTGATGATTGCCAGTTTAAACTCGCTTATCTTTTTATGACTGTTGGTCAAGATCTGTGAGTGGTTGTCAGGAACCTGATTTGTCCCAGATCAAGCCAGAGTAAATTATAACGGTATTTATATAGGAGTATTGTACTGCCCAGTTCTCTAACTGTAAAAATGGGGTGGCAGTAGCAAGGGCATCTAGCCATAATAGTTGCTTCAAATTTGCCTGATGGCAAGCAGGACATCATGACATCAGGTGCAGTAATCATGGCAAGCCCATGTGAGAGTAGAAATTGGTTATGAAAGAGTGATCATGGTAATGTGTAAGTCAGGGAAATTGGGTTCTTGTATGGTGAACATAATCAACCTTTGGAATACAATACTGTACTGCACTTACATTTTTAAACTGGTCTTCCCCTCCAGTCCATCCAATATTGCAATGATTTACTGAATTTGGAGAAGAATTCATTGTACTGTATAGTTTTGACATAAATTCCATTTAAAGAATAACCACTCAGAAATATGACATCAGAAATTTACATAAAGACTACAGTACAGTAATCAAGAAGGCAGGTAATGTTCCTTAAGTTGCCGAGTCTTAACTAATATAACCATTTACAGTTCTCATAATTGTTAAAGGTAATGACGATCTTGGTTACAATACTGTGGTTAAAGGAACTTATTTTATATCTGCTGTTGTAGACTTTGAGGTCACTTACACTGTGGGGGGAGGAGGAGGATACTTTTGCATCCACAGAATTCACTACTCCACAGTGAGATTGAGTGTGAGCATACCAGAATAATGAGAGTAGTGTTTGTGTGTGTGTCTGTATGTACTGAACTGTATATTGTTGAATTTTTAGGAGAGTGGGAATTCTTCATGATTTAATTTGCTCAGTAATAGAAAAACTACAGATGCTATGTACTGTGTATAAATATCTTTACTGTACAGTGGGGTATGCTATAACGAAGGGATCCTACTACGAATATTCCTATAACGGACGGTTTTACCTATAAAATTGAGAATGCTATAACGAATGAAACTCCTACAACGAACATTATTTAATTTTTTTTTTTTTTTTTTTTTTTATACTAATTTATTGTTTTTTATTACAAGTATTAATGATATTCTTTATTTCAGGGGTTTAGATGCATATTTATGCACTTTTTTACAATTTTTACAATTTTATGTTATATTTTTCAGTGTTAAGTAGTTGTATTTGGGGGCTTGGATCGGATTAATCCTATAACGAACAAGGTTCTAGAACCAATTAGATTCGTTATAGCATACCCCACTGTATATAAGAGCCTTAAAAATATTCCAGATTAAAAAAAAATTCACATTCTGTTATGATTGATGGAAATTTGGGGAGTCTTGTCAGAGCTATGCTGGTTCTCCTTACCATGACAAAACTTTTTTATGGCTGTACAGTAGGTTCTTGCCTCCATGTTAATGCATTTGCATGAGGCATATGCTGGAAGAGTTCCTACTCTTGTTCCTGCTACATTGTATTTGGTGTTAGAGAACATAATGATATTCAAACAAAGTTTTGCAACAGAAAATACTGTGAAGTTTGGTACTTGAGGTTTACTCCATAAATTGAAGTGGAATAATATTACAAAATACAGGTGCTCTTCTTACATTCCTGAGGCTTGGTTGTAAGTCCATTTGTTTGTAAGTCCAGCTTTACTTTTGTAGATACTGTACTGAACTTATTGTAAGAAATGAGACAATAAAGGATGTGCAGTACAGCTATGCCCCAATAATGAATACAGTTCTGTACAGCACAATATTCTGCAGTATATCTTAATATCCTTTAACAGCATTTCAGTGTACTGTACTGTATAAATTGCTTATACAGGTACTGTACAGTGTTAATTTTGTAGGCAGTTTGAACAGTGAATTGGACATACGAACAGATTGATTCATACTCTGGAAGTTGTTAAGTCTAATGTTCAAAAGTAGAGGAGCACCTGTATTTTGGTTAATTTGGTTTAGTAGAAGTTAAGCTTAAATTGAAGTACAGCGTATCATTCATTTATATATAAAATTTACCTTAGGAAATTTCAAAATAATTTGACAATTATGGTTTAAGAAAACTTTAATTTGTTCTGTTTCAAAGTAAAGTTATAATACTGTATTACCGTAGGGAATGTAAAATTACAACTGGATATAATTACATCTCTTCTTAATATGTCTTGTACTGTTCTTGTAAATTCACTTGATAAATGTCATATCAAAGATAAGAACCTGACAAGAAGCCAAAAGATGCAATGCAGCTTAGTGAGCTGCTATCAGGTAATCACGGTTAACCCACACGAGCTCGGGAAATGGCTATAAAATGGTGGTGGTTGTTATCCTGACCCAAGGTAATGAAAGGATAGATGGCAATTGTGATCACATAAATGGTGGTTAAAGTGGTTATGGTAGTTACAATGTGTTGTGATTTACCTTGTATTTATTGTAACCAGGCGTGTTATTAGTCGGAGAACCAGTAAATTATGAGCTTGCTCTAATATTAATTCTACTTATTTGTCATTTGTGGTAAACCGAAGGAAGTCACAGTAAGGCTGGGTGGGTGAAGAGAACTGAAGTTTAGTGTTTTCCTGTTGGTAGCTGGATTTGGAGTGAATAAACATGGTAACTGTCCATATACAGTAGTAGGTGATGAAAATTCCACATCATTGCTGAGTAAATGACGAGAATGCTTGCCTTCAACTTAAAACACACAATATTGAAATACCTTTAATTACTTATTATAATTCAACCACCATTCCCTAGACATCTAATACAGGTTATATACATTATCTTATATATAACAGATTGTAGAAACCCATAACCAGCTTATCGTTATGATTGCTGTAATATATTTAGCAATAAGGATTATGATAGTAGTACTGTCGTGGTGATGACGATAGAAAACACTTATTACTGTACATCATTTTGAATTAAGTTCATAGATTAGTGAATGAGAATGAGGGTACTAACATTACAAGTGTAAATGATTTTGTTGAGAATTTAAATGTTAGTTTGTTTTAGCCGATTCTTTTCATGGTTTTTCTTTTTTAATACAGCGAGGGCAGCCCGTATGAACACTGATTATCAAACAGGCTGTACAGAACACATTTAATAATGGTAAAGTAATAAAAGAAATTCAGCAACATTTATCCATATTACTTATTGGCATGTGTTTTAGACTTTGAATTACACGTAATATCTTTGTCAGCCAGAATCCCTCTTAACCGGAACTCTCCGATAGCCCGAATAAAAATTTTCTAAGGGGCACATTTTTCTGGAAAATTCCAAGAAAAATTTTCCAGTACCCAGAAAATTCTGGGGATGGAGTTTTTTCCGGGTTTGGTACACGAGCATCAAGTGCATTTTCCGGAAATTCTGAGAAAATTTTTATGGTACTGTATCTGGAAAATTCCGGGAATGGCGGATATTTTTCCAAGTTCGAGTGATGATGTAATGCACAATTTCTGGAACTTAAGAGAACATTTTTCCATTGCCTGGAAAATTCTAGAGATGAGAGATTTGTCTCGTTACTGGAAATCTCTCATTCTTGGAAGTGTTCTGCACCAAATGTTCTGGCTAACGGAGATATTACTGTACTGTACACATTTAGATAAATTAAAGGATTACCCTGTACCTGTTTTCTTAGTGTCAATTTCACAGCATGTCTGCTTTTGGAGAAACTTAAAGAATACAGTACAGGTACTGTAGTTGCCATTAGTTTTATCACTGATTTAATTTTTGTTACTGCA